GTCTTCAACTACTAAAGGGACCCAATTGGTAGCTAAAAACAAGAAGAGAACGAAGTTTAAAGAGCATGAAAATATCTAAGAAAAAGAACATGCAGATAAGAGAACGTACGAGTATAGTTCCATGTCTCAGGAATTGAAGGTCCTGGTGAGGGTATGATGTCCTTGGAAGCGATGGAAATAAACGTTTTCATCCAACCACGGTCATTTTCATCACCCAAACTGGTGATGATGGCATTATGACCACCCTTGCTGAGTTTGACCATGCCTCCTCGGAAGATCTTGGGAGAGTAGAGATGGATCACGTGTGCAAAGGAGAGATTTTTTTGTGTGCGGGAGGTCAGATACCGGAGGCAAGCTACTGTATGTCATACTGCCACACCCACTTGAGCTAAGCAGACTTGGTAACTCCAGCAAAACTCAAGGATGACTGGATCAATTTCGTGCCTGAGCCTGAGTGTGAAAGGATAAGTAAATGTATACGCTGATTTACTGAAGGTCACCCTCTCCACGTCTAGAGGGGCCAACACTTTCATATCTTTCTAACCAAAATCCTATTTCACAATATGAATGTTGGCCAGTCGAATAGAAGAAGGGTACTCGCCGATCGCTTTGTCCCGGTCATTTTTTTAGGTTTGAGGAAGTGCCCTGGATTTGGAGATCCTTATAAAAAGACCCTTCTTTAGGAATGATCGTGTTCATGGTGGGGTGCAATGTCAGTCTTTTTGGGTTTATTCTTCTTGGAAGGGCCTCCACTGATGTAAATCCTGACGTCGGCACTTGTTGAAAGTGGGTTAGTCATGACCACCATGGAATCACCTTGGTTGACGATAGCAGACGGGTTATCAGTGGTGGAAATTGGAGTGCATGGAGAAGACATGGTGAAATAGATTTAAGTTTAACGGAAAAGATGGAAAAATTATTTCTGGTAATCGGAAGTTCTGCTATAAGGAAAAAATAGATTGCAGAGATTTAAAGTGTATTGAAAGAATTTGTAAAAAAGTAAAGTAAAATGTGAAAAGAGTGGTAAGTTTATAGATGGTCTTCGAACCAAAGTCATCATTACCTCTGTAAATTGCAAAACTGCTCGTCGAATCACAAAGAGGAACGTGTCAGGATCAATAAATGCAAAGTGATGTGCATCCTTTTGAATGTCAGAAGCCGTTCAATAACTTTTCCACCAAGAAATGAGATATCTTATCTATTTTACGGTCAAATAAAGTTGAGTCACCGGTAAATAGGAAAAATATCTATATTGGGTAAAATTTAGAGTCTAGAGGTGGAAACCTCATGAGCAGACACGTGGCAATGATGACAGGATGTAAGTGTGTCGCCAGCCAAATAATATCAGATAGAGTAATGTGATCGGGATTATATATAAATTAGCATAATGACTCGATCGATCCTTTTTAGCATTTACACTTCGCTCGATAGTTTGAGGGCATGAGTAGCTCCGTATGATGTATTATAACTTATATGTATCACCGATTATGGTTTTCATGTGACTCAGAATTGATTTTGAAGAATGATTCTCACTAGGATGATTCAAGTAGAAAGTGTTGGCCAAGCTTGACTATTGAGTATTTGACCTCGGATCGGAGTTTTGATGGTTCCGTTAGGTTAGGATGGTTATTTTAGACTTCGGTGTATGCCCGGATTTGCATTTGGATATTTGTAGAATGTTTCGGCACTAATTAGAGAAAGTTGGCAATTTGAAGGTTTGAAATATTCATAAGTTTGACCGGGAGTTGACTTTGATGATATTGGGTACGGATTGTGGCTTTGAGAATTGTAATAGCTTCGTTATTTCAGTTGGTATTTGTGTACAAAATTTGAGTTCATTCCAAGTTGATTTGATAAGGTTCAGCACTAGTTTTGGAAGTTGAAAGATTCAAAGTTTATTAAGTACAATTTGAGGTGCGGTTAGTGGTTTGATGTTGTTATACATGATTTGAGATCTCGACTAAGTCTGTAATATGTTATGGGACTTGTTGGTATGTTCATACGGGGTCCCGAGGGGCTCGGGTGAGTTTCGAATGGGTTTGGTTGTGTTGCGCTCGTTTTTGATGTTTCGACGTTGTTTCTTCAAGCATAAATAGTACCACATTAAGAAAATGAGCTCCAATTTCTGTTTTAATTGAAGAATTAGATCCGTATCATAATTTTGGAACCATATCAACTGGAATCATCAAGTTTCGATATCGTATGAGGAATTTATGGTCATTTTACTAAGAATTGGGTTACCATATTTTTTTTCAACATAATTACGAAATTGCCATTGAATTCGTATTTAAAAATCTGCACTATTTCTAAATATCTCCTTCATTATAAGGTCAAATGGAGTGATTCTAAAGCCTAACTTGACTTGAATTTTACAAGAAATTCATTAGAGGCATCAAAAGCGAGATTCAGGATCATTTGGAACAAGAAACAAGGTAGAACAGCTGGGCAGAAACACATAATATCGAGAGTTTGTTCATTTGGTCATATTTTGAGTTGGGGAGCTCGGATTTAGGCGATTACGGAGGCGATTTTTACCACATGGATTGGGGTAAGTGTTCTATACTCAGATTTGGTTATATTTCATGAATCCATCTTCGGTTTTGGCATTTGATTTATGATTTCAAAGTGAAATTTGAGGGGGTTTATCTAAAATTTCATAAAGTACTTTTTTGCGTTTTGAACATTGATTCGGAGTCGGATTTGAGTGAAATTAGTATGGTTGGACTCATAATTGAATGGGTTATTGGATTTTGTAAGTTTTGTTGGGTTCCGAGATACGAGCCCAAGTTTGACCTTTTGGTTGACTTTGGGGCTTTTGATTAAAGATTTTACCTTTATCGATTGGGTTTGTTTCCTTTGGCATTATTTGATGTTCTTGAGTTGATTTTGGCTAGTTCCGAGCCGTTCAGTGGTCGGTACGTGCGGGATGGCATTTCTAGAGTATTGTTTGGCTTGCTCGGTATTGGATTTGGCATGTTCGAGGTAAGTAACACTTCTAAACTTGGTGTTGAGGGTATTAACCCCAAATATATGCGTTATGTGTTTGGTGTTGAGGTGACGCACATGCTAGGTGACAGGCGTGAGGGCGTGCACCATGTGAATTATGATTCGATTGATTATGTGGTACTGTGTAGTGACCTAATCTTGTTTCTATCCATGAAATTTCTACGTGCTAGAGTAATTGAATTGTGATCCATGTTAGAAATCATGTTTAGGCTATATTCTTATCCTGTTGCAACCCGCTGAGGTCATTTCTGTTGTTGAGTTATTTTCTTAAATTGCAATAACATAGTCAGTCATTCTCATTCATTACATATCATATTTGAGTCTCTTATATCATTTGTATCATATTATATTATCATTGTTTGGGCCGATTGGCATGAGATTTGTGAGGCCGAGAGATTAGAGATATTGATGACTTAGTGAGGCCGAGGGCCTGATTGTGAGGATGTTTAAGGGATCGGGCTGCACGTCACAACATACTTTATTGATTTATGCCATAATTGGCTTATATTAACACTTGGGCAGGATATGCCCCTCCAGAATCTGCACACCCACAGTGAGCGCAGGTACCTACTGAGTGCGAGTGTCGTGTGCGAGTGCGAGTGCAAGTGCAAGTGCCGAGCGCGAGTGCCGAGTGATTGGGAGGACTGAGTGACTGATAATCTGAGAGTATGCATATGATTTTATCATTGTGTTGCATTGCATTCGACATGTACACTTGACATACATGCATAGAGATGCATTTTCCTCATGTTGTACGGTATTGTTTCATTCATGACTTCACATATACATTGACATGTAGGTATAGAGATGTAATTTCCTCATGCCATTTGATAATGAAACATCTTACCTAATGTTGGAAGTTTTGGGAAAAATCACAGTTTGTTTTTCCAGATTTACTCATATTTTGGTGATTTCAGTAAAAGATTCGGGTTTTCACTAATATACTTGAAAGGCATGCCTATTTTCCGGAACTGTGAATGAGCTGAGCATCATATCTCTGAGTTATTTCTTTTATCACCTTTATTATATTATTATGAACTGTTGTTGGCTATTGGTGTTGGACTCCGACCTTTGTCCCAGCTCATTACTACTTTCAACATAAGGAGGGGTTTGTTACTTATTGAGTACATGGGGCCGGTTGTACTCATACTACACTTCTGCACCTTGCGTGCAGATTTTGGAGCTGATATTACTGCTTATGGCGGGAGTTAGTTTTGAAGATATACCTACATTCTGGTTGTAGCTGCCACTTATTGATGGTAGCTTTAGATTTATAAAGAATCTGTTTATGTACATTTCAAATAAATGATGTATTTATTTCATACTAATTTTGTAAACTCTAAATCTTAGAAGCCCGTGATTTGTACTACCAATCCTTGGAATTGTTTTGTATAAAAGTTCAGTTGTATTATCATTACTTCTGTTAGAAAATCGCATTTGAATTGAAAGGTTGCTAATTGGCTTAACTAGCAGTTGGGGGTTAGGTGCCATCACGGCTAGTTGGATTTTGGGTCGTGACAAGTTGGTATAAGAGCTCTCGGTTCAAATGTTCTACGAGTCATAAGAAAGTATCTAGTAGAGTCTTGCGGATCGGTATGATGACGTTCATGCCTATCTTCGAGAGGCTATTGGATAAACTTCCCGTCTTTCTTTCCTTATCGTGCGGCATTGATTAAGCTTGAAGCGTATCTCTTTGAATTTCTTTCCACTCACTCGTATGCGTATGTGAGAGCTCGATATCAGTTGTACATCGACCGCTTGTGGATTCCATGGATGAGGTGCGGGATGTGTTTTTGTGCTTTGGTGATGGCTAGTTTGGATGACTTGAGTCCCGGTTTGGACCGCAACTTAGGCTCGGTAGTTTCAGTTGTGAGAGCTTTGTGCTTTTGGACTTCTATGTCCAGTGGTGTCCCTATGAGTGGGATTGGTGGCTCGGTGAGTGCTTGGATGGCTATATGATGAGTAGGATGTGACTGCGGGATGTGTTCAGATGGTTTGAATGTGACGGAAAAAGTTTGCTTGAGATGTGAAAAGCACTATTGGATGCACAATTTCTATGAATGTGTCATACAGTCTTTCTTTTGTAAAAAGGACTATTGGATGCACGATTTCTACGAATGTGTCATGAAGTCTTGAGTCTGCATCAACAGTTCACGTCCCCAATTCTCCAATCCACCAGCCTTCCCTTTTCCTTCATCCACAAAATTGATAGCTTCGGAAAAATCTCTTTCCAATTCACTTCAGAAAGAGAAAATGACAAGAGTGAGTGAAAAGAGAAAAATACACAAATCCTGAAGAATCCCATAAATTCAAACATGAGAGGTTTTTGAATATAGAAGACGTAAAAAAAATTAGATGAACCCGGGTGTTCTCAATACAAACTAAAATGAAATTAAAAAATAATAATAATAAACATAATCGCAAATTACAACTATAGAGAGAATCGCAAGCAACAATAGAAGAAATCATCGGATTAAACATTGGATATTTGTTAAATTCAGTAGTTTCATGGATAGAAAGAAACTTAGTTAAATTCATGAAAGTTGATAATGTAGTCATTTGTAGATATGGATAGACTATTTCATGACATTCGAACATAGAAAAACAGTTATGTATAACCAGACTAAAAACAACATATATAACAAACTGACAAGAATAAAAACTCAATATATGAAATCTATATACTTAAGGTCAAGAGTTCTAATTCACAAACAATTTGAAATTTGGACAGTACAAACATGGCATGGCAGAGCAAAATCAAAAGTAAATACGAAAGTACTCTAAAAAAAGGTTATAGTAAATAGTAGTAATAGTAGTGCTAATACTAAATATCAAAACCATAAGACAAACCCCAAATAAGAAAATATAAGCGGGATCCAAATTCTTACTAATTGTTTTACAAATTTTGAAACAAACACCATAGGAATTTACCAAAGCAGAGGAAAATTAGAAGAACCAACAATTGGTATACTTTCATAGCCTGCAGAAATGTTGTTTTCATGTCACCTCGGTAGAGAAAAAGAATGATATCAATCCAATTTCACAAAACAATTTCACACAAAAAAGTAGCAAAAAGCAAGCTAAGCACAGATCCGAAAACTACAGACATAGCAAATGAAACCCTAGATCTACATGAATAAATAAGCTAAGTATAGATTCAACAATTACATAGACAAAGCAAATGAAACCCTAGATCTACAATCTGCATTAATAAATAAGCAGTAACTAAATAGCGAAAATGAGAGAAAAATTGAAAGGACCTCGGTGAATTTTGTTTGTAGATTGAGGTTGAAGAACACCTCGGAAGCTTTATTGGAGACCAACGGCTTCCAATCGAGATCCTTGGTGAGACGAGGGAGTCGCAAGCTACGGCGACTGGCGATCTCCCCCATATCGATAAGAGGGAGAGAGAGAGAGAGAGAGGAAATTGCAAGACTAAGGTTTATTTGGGAGGAGTGAGGGTGTTCTAATTTTTGGTCTAAGCGGCAGAGGGAGTCTAAAAATTTGTTGAGAGAAATTTTTTGGTCTGAACAAGTTGACGAAAATACTTTTAAAATAATAATTAAACATAGTGGCGGTTGCAGCGATTAGCAACCACCGTGATAAACCTCAACCGTCGTAATTTAAAAGTTTAATGTGGCGCATCAAAAAACGTCATTCTATGTTTCATATTGTGGCGGTAGAGCAACCGCCGTAATAAAACCGCCGTAAATCTCCGATTTTTTATAGTACGTGGTGCTCCCTTTATATATCTCACTACTCTCAAAGTTGCCTCCATATGTGACTGTTTGGGTTTTTGCATAAATTGACTCAAAATTTAGACTGCAAGTTTATGTCAGACCTGGTGATAGTTAAATATAATAACTTCCCTATTAACCTTTGATGTACGGAGTTGTCCTTGAATTTTGAGTTACCAATTTTCCTAACACAAGTGTCGTACTCCATTGTTGTCAATTTCTGGTTCAGCTCTATAGGAGTTGCAACTGGTTTTGTACCACTCAAACCAGCCTCTTAGATTAGTTCTAAGACATACTTCCTTTGGTTGAGCAAGATCCCTTTCTTGGACCTTGAGATCTCAATCCCAAGGAAATATCTTAACTGACCTAAGTCTTTAACCTTGAACTTGCTATGCAGAGTTGTCTTAGCATTATTCACTAGGTTGGGACAACTCCCATTAATAAGCAAATCATCTGCATAAACTAGTATGATGACCAGCTCTTTTCCTTGCTGTTTTTTGAATAAAAATGATCAAAGGAACTTTGTTTATAGCCACTATGAATCAGTGCATCAGTAAGTTTTATGTTCCATTGTCTTGATGCATGTTTGAGTCCGTAGAGAGATTTCATAAGCCTGCACACTTTCAGCTCCCATTGCTTGTGAAATCCTTGAGGTAATTGCATGTAGACCTCTTCATAGAGATCGCCCTGTAAGAAAGCATTGATAACATCTATTTGGTATAAATGCCAACCTTTTGCAGTTGCTATGCTTATAATGGTCCTTATTGTGACCATTTTTGCCATAGGTGAAAATGTGTCATGATAGTCTAGCCCTTCCTTTTGATTATACCCCTTCTCAACTAGCCTTTTCTTGTATCTCTCTACCTCTCTATTAATTTTGTATTTAATCTTGTACACTCATTTTGACCCAATGGCTTGCTTCCCAGCTGGTAAGTCTACTATCTCCCAAGTATGATTATCCTCTGGGGACGTGATTTCATGTTGCATAACATCAACCCACCCGCTATCAGTTGAAGCCTCCTAAAAAATGTTAGGCTCAACTTCAACTGAGAAAGCCTGCAAGTAAGCTTGATAACCTGCTATGAGATTAGCATAAGACAGACTTTCAAAAAATGGATACAGACATTGTCCAGAGAATTTCTTGGCAATTTGTTAATCTTTCAACCAAACTGGTGGTTTTGAGGTTCTTGTGATCTTCATGTAGCCTTGAGCATCAGTTAGTTCCACCATGTTTGGTTCTGGAACAACTGTGATCTCTGGTTCTGGTTCAGTGTCTGCATTGTCAATTTCTGTAGGTATGTCTGTTGAGGTGTCTTGCACTGCATGCTCAACCTCTACTGCTTTTGTTGTACTGATATCTCCTGGGTCTGGATTATCGTTTGCAGGCTGAGTTAGATCATCTGTAGTATCTGTGTGGGACTCCTGTGAGACTGCACCTGATTCATGTGTTATTGAGAAATCAGGTTGTACAGTCACAGGCATTTGTGTGGCAAAGCTGTCTTCTTGACTCAGTTGTAGTTTCTCTAAAGAGAAATATATGTTCTCTAAAAGTAAGAACTCTACTCTCAAAGATAGTCCTTGTATCTAAATCAATTAACATATAGCCTTTCTGAACCTCTGAATAGCCTATGAAGACTGATTTTCTTGCCCTTTTATCAAACGTGTGTCCTTTTGATAAGTTGCTAGCAAAACTCAAACAACCAAACACATTCAAGTGATCAATTCTAGGTGGTATGTTATACAATACTTCATAAGGAGACTTTCCTTGTAACAAGGATGTAGGCCATTTGGTGAGAAGGTAGACTGTTGTCTTAATACAATCTCCCCACAACCTGCAAAGCAAAGAACTCTGAAACTCCAATGCCCTGGCTACTTCAAGTATGTGCCTATGTTTCCTTTCCACCACCCCATTTTGTTGGGGTGTGTAAGGAAAGCTGATTTGATGCACAATACCTAAAGAAGCTAACAACTCATTACAGCTAGAATTAAAAAGAAATTTCCCATTATCAGACCTCAACACTTTCACATTCATACTAAACTGAGTCTTTATCATTAAAAGGAAATCTTTCAACACAGTTACAACTTTAGATTTTTACTACAACAAGCATACCCAGGTATATCTACTAAGATCATCCACAATTGTAAGAAAGTAATGTTTCCTGTCATATGTAGGTAATCTGTGAGGACCCCAAAGATCAAGATGAATAAGCTGAAAAATACAGTCACTTTTGTTGCTACTAAGGGTAAACTTCAATCTACTTTACTTAGCTAAAGGGCACACTTTACAGTTATGTTGTAAGTTGTCCACTACATTATTTTTCAAGACAAAAATATGCTTCATTGTTGTTGTTGATGGATGGCTTAATCTCATGTGCCAAAGATTGGATTCATCAGTATCCTTGGTGACCATTGCTGTTGTAGGTGTATCTTTCCATTTGAGCACATAATGTCCAATGTCCTTCCTACTAATCTCCATCACCTTCCCATTGTAAAGACCCTGCAATACATAAAAGTCAGGGAAAATGGGGCACAACATCTCAATTCCTTGGTCAATTTAGAGATTGACAACATATTAAATTTAAAGTCTGAAACATATAACACATCCTTTACTTCATAACTTCCTAGAATAGAAGCACTTCCTTTGTGTGTCACAGAGCATTTGCTACCTCTTGGCACCTGTACTCTATGATTCTTTTGTTGCTTAATGATCTCTAAGTTATTCAAGACTTCCTTATGACATGTAATATGATGAGATGCTCCCGTGTTTATTATCCACTCACAAAAAGAAGCATTGGACAACAATGTAGTTTACCTGCCATAAGCGTATGACCATCACCTGTAGGTGTCTTATTCAGGAGATCCAACAACTATTTGTACTTGCTTTCAGTGAAAAATTGTCCATGTGGTTGATTCTAAGAAGAACTTGCGGTCTCTTCTGATATCATGTTAGCATAGGTTCTGCTTCTTTCACACTGTTGTTTCTTCTTGCTTTTAAAATCAGGAGGATATTCTATAATTTTGTAACAGTTTTCCTTTAGATGTCCTTTATTGTCACAACCCGAAATCCCAACCTCAGAGTCGTGATGACGCCTAATATGCACTTGCTAGTCAAGTTGACGTGAGATAATTAAATAACCAAATTTTAACAGTTAAAAATACAATAGTGATAGATAAAGAGAAATAGAAACCTAGTCTAACACAATACTGATATAAATCAGGTGATAATATCTACTCTAAGAAATCCAGAGTCACGAGTACACGAGCAACTAGAAGTCTACAAGAAAAGTCTAAAGGAAATACAACTTGTTCGAAAGAAATAAACAATAAAATGGGGAAAAGAAGGGGACTTCAAGGTCTGCGGACACTAGCAGATCTATCCCAAGTCTCAGTATACTATGATCCGAGATGACGCGCCTCACGCACCACTTGGACCAATACCAGTATCTACAAAGGAAGTACAAAAGTATAGTATGAGTAAGACTGACCCAATGTACTTCGTAAGTATCGAGCCTAACCTCGATAAAGTAGTGACGGGGCCATGACAAGACACCTACGTAGATAACATGTACAAGTGTATATAAAGCAGCAACAATAATAGAGAATGATAACATACAAACTGGGAGGGGACATGCAAAAAGGGGGCAAATATAACATCTACGCCAGGTTTGGAAACACAAAATAGCCAAGTAAATCACCAACCGATGAAATCAGATAAGCCAATGATATGAAAATGGCATGGCATCACCCTTCGTGCTTTTACTATCATCCTCACCATGCAATAATATAAATATAATGGCACGACATCACCCTTCGTAAGTAATTATTACGAAACGAATAATCAAAGAAGTAATAACCTAACCTAAGCATGGATATCATAGTTAGCAAAGTAATAAAATAGAAAGAAACAAGTTTCAACCGCATGCTTTAACCCAATAACACCGCATAAGAACTCGCCACCTCATATATATGTTGTTTCTACACATAGAACACGTAACAAATAGACTAACAAGTCCTAGTCCCTCAAGTCAAGGTTAATCACGACACTTACCTCATTCCGCAATCAAATCAAAGCTAAACCAGGGCTTTGCCTCTATAGTTAGCCTCCAAACCAATCGAATCTAACCAAATATAGTTCAAACAATTCAAAATAAGCTTTAGAAACTTCCCACGAGTGAAAAAGATTAAATCTTTAACGTTTTTGAAAAAGTCAACAAAAGTCAATCTGGGGCTTACTTGTTCAAAACCCGAGATTCAGACCAATACCCAATTACCCATTCACCCCCGATCCCGGTTATGTGATTTGTTTTGAAATCCGACTTCGAGGTCTAAATCTCAATTTTACAAAAATCTCCAATTCTACCCAAATCCCTAATTTCTACCATGGAAATCCTAGATTTGATGTTCAAATCTCATAAAATATAATAGGTAATTGAAAGGAAGTGGATTAAAGTCACTTGCCAATTAATTTGGGAAGAAATGTCTCTTGGAAAATCGCATCTAGGGTGTTTAGGGTTGAGAAATTGTGAGAAATGATCTAAGTATCGTTTTCCCCCTCTTTTACCCAGCTGCGGATATCGCAATTGCGATGTCTTGTTCGCAATTGTGAACAACGCAAATGCGAGACAAGGGTCGTAAATGCAAAACCTGTCTGAGGGCCATAGAAGTCGCAAATGCGATATTTGGTTCGCAAATGCTAACTCCCAACCTCCACAAATGTGTACCATTTCTTCGCAAATGCGAAGACAGCTCAAGAACTACTGAGTCGCAAATGCGA